GCAATTATGTAAAGCGTTCGGGTCTCGCAACTATGACTCAGAGAATGAAAAGTTGACTCAGGTTTTACGTCACTTATGAAATGCACGAAGTGGACAGACATATATGTACTCCCATAAGCATAAGCTTAAGACATTCTCAGGGTTATTCGTGAGTAACCGACGGGGCAAAATATATAATTATTAATCTATTATCAAAAACCACAAGTTACATGAGGTATGCTACTTTACAGGCAAGATCAAAGTTTTACAAAAAGTACATTATTTATTACGTTCAACTCATTTGCCCAGTTTCTTTGATGTGTTATAACGAAACTTTTGATGTAGAGGCAGGATAACAAAATGTTAGTGCACAAATAGATGATTGCTGAATTCAGACTGAATTGTAAGGAGGAAAATATGGAACATCATATGAATTCCGCGTTGCCAAAATGAACTGTTGAATGTATATATCGCAGTCGCCTTCTTCTCGACAGGATAGAAGCTTTCGCTCAACGACCTTTTTTGGACACATCGTTTACAAAACATAAAATTTGCATACATTTTGGTATTTACCACTACTTCTTTCCAGGTAACTAATAAAACGGCTTTTACTTTAGAAAGAATAGTTAAAAACATTGATATAACTCATCTATCCAAAAGTTAGAAACGTGGAACAGTGTTATCACTAGCTGAGAACCTCAGTCAGACTTTTATACTTTCTGTAACGGGAATAAAATTCCCCAGTAATGTTTCTTGAACCGCATTGTTACTTTATTTGTTCTTTTTCCTTACGTGGCATTTTAACTTTTGCTCTAGTTTCCTGCAACCACGTCTTGTATTATTCAGGCCAATTTTGTCTGGGATTTTATTGCTCAACAGTAGTTTAGAATTTACATTTGTGACTGAATTCTACTGCTGTATGCTACCGCGCCATTGATAACTGCGACTCGTTTGACTAAACTAAAAGGTATTACGTGATTTAGTTGGTGATTGTTGAGGTTTGGCTGTCTGTTGAGAAAAATTAGTCGAATTCTTGAAGAGAGATATTTGGTCCCATCGAGTTATAAATACTCTTGCAGATTCTTTGGTACCAAACACTTACTTCTGAAAATTCTTTGTTGAGGAGACCCATAAAAGTCCTCGAAAATAGTTCAAAGGGGCCCTGAAACCTCGGAAACATTCTATCCATCCAGCAATGAATAGAGGTTTCTCAGGAATATCTAGAAAGTGGAGAGTCAACTGTCGCACTTCTGACTGGATGATTAATTATCCCGCCAATGTCCTAAGAAGAGTTCCAGAACTTTCAAGAAGCCCAAAACCATCTAAAATACTATAAGTACCCTTCTGCACGTAAATTAACCTTACAGTGGAGCGCCCTTTTCAGTCTAACGATTTATCATTCTTTCTGCTGTTCATCGCGTCATTCAGTGTCAGAGAAACTTTGACTAAACAGCACAAGGTGTACCGTTCTGAGATATTTTCTACTTTTGATGTTTGTTTGCTTTCCTAAATCAAAACCGTTTAAATTGTGGAAAGTTTTCTCGTGTTTACATAATTTCAGTCTTCAGTCAGTCTTCAGTCGTCAGTAATAAGGATAGTAGGTTGATGAACCTGTATTAATCCTGACCCACTGCTTTCCAGTGAAGGTCCAGCTTCTCCTTGAAAGTATTCACTAATGGGGCTGATACCACTTGTTCGGGTAAGGCGTTCCAATGATTGACTACTCGATGAGAAAAACGGAACCCCACTTTAAGTTTATTAGATCTTGGTTTATGAACCTTCTTGCTATGACCGCGGAGATTATTAGTGCAAGAAGGAGCAAAAAGATAAGACATATTAACACCCAAATCATAATTAAAGATACGAAATGCCAGTATAAGGTCACCTCGTGTCCTACGATACGACAAGGGGAAAAGATTTAGGCGTTTTAAACGCTCATCGTAAGGGAGTCTAGAAAGACCCTACACTAATTTCGTTCCCACGCCTTGGACACGCTAAAGTGAGTTGGTATCCTTTACCGGACATGAGATAGCTCCTTGGATACAGTACTCTAAGTGTGGTCTTGCATAGGTGGGATATAAAATTCGAAACATTTCCTCGTCAAAGCATTTGAATGCTCGGTGAAGTGACCATAACGCACGAAAACCTTTGACAGCGGCTGCGCTGCAATGCGCAGTTGTTTTTAAATCATGACTTAATACTACTCCTAAGTCTTTATGCCCTTGAACGCATGGAAGAGGTTTACCCTCAAAAGTGTAACGGTAACTATTACCGTGACCGATGTGCATCAGCACACTCTTCCTAGCATTGATTTCTAAGCCCCACTCTCGAGCCCATCTAACTAAATCGTCTAAGTCAGCTTGAAGATCCAGATGATCAGCCGCACTTTTTATTGTTCTCCAGATTTTTACATCATCTGCAAACAATAATGTCGACGACCTAAGTAACAGCGGTAACTCATTAACGTAGAGAAGGAAGAGCAGAGGGCCTAAGATGGTGCCTTGGGGTACACCACTTTTGACCGGCTTCCAATCGGATAGCGTTCCGTTAACCCTCACTCTCTGTCTGCGGTCACATAAGAAATTTCCTATACACGCATGTACAGTACCTATTATTCCGAAGCTCGTGAGCTTCTGCATAAGACCTACGTGTGAAACCTTGTCAAACGCTTTGCTAAAATCTATGAATATCACGTCGACAGACAGACCGTTATCTAGGGCTGCTGTCCAATCCTCCATCGCAATAAGCAGGTTAGTCAAGCATGAACGCTTGTTACGAAATCCGCGTTGCTCAGGAGCTAACAGATTGTGTAAATCTATGTGGCTTAGCAACCTAACCCGAATTATCTTTTCAAGTAACTTAACGACTATACTAGTTAGACTAACAGGCCGGTAGTTAGATACTATATGTCTCTGACTGTCCTTGAATATAGGACTGACACGAGTCATTCAAAAACGCCTCGTACGCTATGCAGTTTGTTCTAAACGAATAAAACTCGGCTTCCCAGTTCTGCATTCACATCAAATACTGGGATTTCTATCGTTACACCATCTGCTACACACATTGTTTGGCATTATTGATTTGTTTAGACACTCAAGTATCTTTATCTGAATGACTAAGTTATATGATCTCCAGTTATCAGAATTACGTCCCTCACTTTGTGTTAAACAATCTCTTCGTTCACAAGTTTGATTGTGCGAATTTCGTTGGACAGCTCTGTGGGATACCTTGCCTACTATACTAGTCCTATAGAACCATAACGAACGCGAAATTTGTACTTTATTTGGAATTTACCACTAATAGTAAACGACACTTCTGTTGAATGTGAGAAGCTATTTGATAGTGGACGGTCCTGAACTATTTAACTCTGAACTAGTTGACTTCCTTTTGCGATTCCGCACGTTCAAAATTTTAATTCTGTTGAGTCTTAAGTACACGGAATGGAAATATATCTCCTTATTTGCATTTGTGGTAGGGTGATCATTATAATGTCCATGGACAGAAAATAGACAGTAAAACACATTGTTTCTGAGACAAATAGAGATTGTCTTCATACTTAACTCTAGCCGCACCCATTTCAATGCCAGCTGGGAAACCCATCAATCGTGCCCCGCCCTACATAACATATTTTCCAGAATTGGACGACAAATATGAATGAAGTGATGCTTATGTTTGTTATGAGGAACTCAAATGATTTATTCATTAATAGTTTTCTGTTATCAAATAAACTCAATATTTTAACATTAAATGAGCAATGTATAATCATTTATCTTGTATTCTAATGAATTCATTTACGATATTAGGGTTATTGACTGAAAATGAGTTTTGAATTATGACTCCTGTGAAAACGAGAAAAGAATCGTCAATGAACGACACAGATCGTCGCATATATATATATATATATATATATATATATATATATATATTTCAGTTAGCAACCTTTAAAGATTTATCATATTTATCACGAAGCAACGAATTGAATTTTACAAGACACCTGCCTAATAGTTACGAGTCTACGTTGAAACACTTCCAATATTATTGACTAGCCATTCTTAAAAATTCATTTTCTACAGCTTTGCACCGATTCCGTCAACTTTCTTACTGGTGTGTCTGAAATAAGAGTCAGTCGAAGGACATTTGTCATTTCTAAGAATGTTTTCTTTGTTTCAATTTGATATCAGTCACTCAGTCGACGATAATCAGTCATCCGTCATTTGATAATTTTAATTCAACTGATGTTTATGTTTTTGCAAACATGTGATAATCAGGAGTATATGAATTATAGTATGAACTAAGAATCCCAGGAATAATGTAATCGGATCAAGAAGTACTAGATAACCACAAACGAATGTACTGTATTTAGAATTGGAAATCAAGCATTCAACAAGTACAAAGGAATCATTATTTCATTCAGACACCACAAAACCTTCAGCACGGCTGTTGCTTATACATGAAATATTAAGCTGAACAAATCAACGACTACGTAAACATTTACTTTTTGACGACAATATAAGTTTGGGAATACACAAGTTGTGCTCAGTTGGTCGGTTGTCAATCACTCTTTTCATCTTCTTTCTTGGGTCACAATAGGGTGTGAATAAATTAAAGGATTAGCCCATTGTCTAATTTTCATCTCAATATGATATTTCAGCATTTATTGTTTATTGTAATTAGGTTTATCTTTGTCAACTTGTTGTAAAAGCCTACTTCTCCATTGTTCTATTTTCAAGTTAAACAAATATTCAATATAAATTTTAATCACCCTGTTTCATTGTTTTTTCTCATTATCGTATTGTGACCATGACCCATTTGTTAGTTAAATAATGGACTGACGTTCTTCATGAAAAGAAGAGTTTGCTAAAATAAGCCACAGACATTCAACAAAGTTTATGTTAACAATCATTACAAACAATCCAATCGGACAACACATATAGGACAGAAGAGTAAAACATCACATTTGTGTAAAACACTTTATCTCTAGAAGATATTTGAATAGAAAGTTCATTTTGTGGAAAGGATGTATTGTTTAATTATATTGACTGGTAGTTTTACAATTTCATTAAACTTTAAACAATTTGATAAAAATAACAAACTAATAAAATCGTAATCTCTTTACAGTATACAGAGTCAAAATCATAGTTACCTGTGATATAAGTATTATTCAAAACTGTGAAAAATCGCTAATCGACAGAATTCCAGCGTAGTTTACGACCAACACAAGCATCGTTCCACCATTTCGAAACATTTGGGAATGTATACGGTTTCAGTTTATGAGCGGTATGTGCAAATAAGCATATAGCGCATTGAGGCAATGGAAACCAAACATCTATGGTCCCATGTTCATGCCATGAGAAGTACTCATTGTATGCAGTATCGTTTCTGTCCAAATACTTCAAATAATTGGCAAGCTTTTCTGGGGATTCAAACTGATCCACATGAATAAATGAATGAGGAGGAGCGACACGCTTGTATTCTTCATATGAGGCACCCATCACAACTGGAATTACATTGTTGCTATGTTAATTAAACAAACCAGATACAATAGTTGAATGCTTTAGTGAGGTGATGGAAATGACAAATGAAGTGAGAGAAAATAAATTATTCATCACAGATAATTGAACTTAACCACCCTGATCTATCTTTTGAAAATGAGTGATATGTTACAGTCTATTAAAATCGTGGTGTGTCTTGTTGAAGCTGACTAGACTTCATCAATTTTCGAATATTGCTGTCATCGAATAATTACAGCACTCCACTCATCTACCAAATCACTTTCACACCCTCTGAAATATATACAACCGGGATATTCGGCTCTACGAATATTTATTACAGCTCTAAATAAATTTGTTCGATGAGAGTTAGTAGAGAAGCAGCAAATGATATAGTATGTTCATCAAATGCCACGTCAAACACATAGAGATGATACACTGCAGCTATAAACTGGAAGATGTTGGAAATGTAGTAAACAATTAACAGTATTATTAAAATTTCATTGTTTACCTACATTAATGCATTTCTGTAAAGCTTTTCCGTAATATAATCAGGGCATAAACTGTTTTCAAAACTCAGGTAGAATTTATAATGCTTTCCAAGTAGAGTAAAACATTGAGCATCGACTTTTCTAGGGCATGTCAGAGTGCCACATCTACCATAAATATCAACCTATGAAATAAATCAAAGAAAAGCAGTTTATTTCTTTAGCATTGAAAGAAACTTGGTAATAACAAAATAAGCAATAAACAGAAATATTTTGCAAACGGATGTCAGACTACGTTATGGAACTAGTCGACTATAACGACCACGAACGTTGTTACACAAAATCAAATTGAAGAGATCAATTTTTATATTTATAATAAATATATATATATAATATATATATATATATATATATATTGATTTCTCATTAAATTGTCAGAAATTTCTCAAAATGAACTTGAAGTTTTTTGAATCGCAAACAAGCTGAGGAGAAGTTTGAGGTGCTAAGATAAGAGGGTTAATGAAGTATTTATGAATGTGGATGTTTTTACTTTCATGAGTCTTTTTGCTTGTAATGTTACGAAGCAAATAGTCGAAATCGCAAACTGCAATGCCTATAACTATCAACAGGACAGAATAAATATGTATCTGGAGCAATGACCGAAAATCCGATAGTACATTCATACTCGTCAAAATGTACTATATTATATCTACGTGAAATATTACACTTGCAGGAATACATATAACACCAATCTAGGCTAACGTTTGAGTATCGCAGTTACATTCCTTTCTCGCTAGCATAAAATAAGAACACTAATCGTTTATTGTGCTGGAAGAAATTTCAAGAAAACTGTGATATTTGTGAACTTATGCGACCACTGTATCACATCACAGATACATGTTTTTTATAGGATTAAATAAATTTTAATAGAAAGAGAGTTGACCTAATCATATATCCTAATGCTACACTCATAATTGCTTCGGCTGATCCACACCATTTGACCGTATTATTTTGCTCATCAGAGATACAAGTCTTCCAAAACACGTTATACTTTATTTCCGTCGATTTGTGTCACGCAATAAATATTCAATTCAGAACACACAGTCACACAAAAGGAATGCAGGAACAGTTATGCAGTGGCTGTAAGTCGTAATTCAGTGAGTGATCAAACTGAAAAACGAGTACTTACTATGCGACTGATATGTTGGTCATCACTACCATGAACATCGCTTCTCAGATTTATTAACACGTCAGACAACAGAAAATTGGAATTTAATGACGAAGCCGAAATCCTAGTTTCATACTTTGTCGATATTATATTACGTTCATAATATATACTGAAAACAATCACTAAAGTGTGTAAATTCACATAATTTCCACACACATTGGCTCAATAACAGTCCATATGGCAAATAAAAATTGTCGTGAAAGTCACTTAATAACAGTTATTATTTGTGATGTAGCATTTGATGAAATTTAGATCCAGTAAATAGAATCAATCATAGATGAATGTTACAGTAAATCCTAAACAGTCAGTGGCAAGTTCAAAGCATAATGAACTGATAAGATTCAAAATTATAAATAAATTGCAACAGACTCGTACTCACTTAGTCTCATTCTTGTCTGAACCAATTTAAGGCCCAACTTCCGTTTGAGTACTAAATGTTTTACGCACTATACTAATAATTATTTTGATGAATGAAATACTAATTATTAAAGCAATGAGTTATTTATAAAATTTAGTTGAACAACGAGATTAACCCTGTCTTCTCGCTGTTCAATTAGCTTTTACTCACACCATTTTTATATACATGGGACATGCTGTATGTCTGTGTGATCATACTATTCTTGGACTAAACAAACTGACGAAAATCTCTACAATAATTTAACCAAGAAGGCAAATTTATACTCCATCCACTTCCTAACTTGTGCTTTGATCTGATGAAAATGTTTACCTGAAATAAAACACTAAAACATTTCATATTGGACTTAAAGTCCTGTTGTCGTTTGAACTTGTTATGCACTGGGACCATTGTAGACAAACATATGAAATGAAATCGGTAACTATATAATCTGGGTTCTCACTTGAATATGACGAGATAATTCTTTTACATACATCATTCTCGGACTTTTAGGTTGACAGTTGCTTACAAACCATGCTACCATTTTAGATTTACCAGTGGCATAGTTACGGGAAGGGAGTACGTATTTTGTATCTGGACCATGACTAGCAACAAATGGGTTATAATTGTGATACGGTACATAAATTGTTGAATCCATTCGATAAGAGATTGTGTAGTTGACCTGAGTGAAAAACATCAAAATATGCTAAACATTTAGATATGTGAGGAATAATTTCAAAATGCCAATAGGAAAAATATTTACACAGACTAGTCATATACTGGTAACTACTAAATCGAGAGCTGGGATTACTCAATAATGTCCTATTGTTCTAAACTAATGACTCACTATATATTTTGAGTTACAAATAATAAATAACAAATGTTGAACAAACCACCTTATGCTAAAAACCATAATTGGATGTTTCATCTGATATTCTACTTTTGATGAATTTGTTGACAAATTCTACTTAATAGGAGTCAATGCAGGTTTTAGAGGACGTTCACATGCAATTGACGAAACTAGAAGACGTATTGATGAATGCTTTCACATTTCCCAATATCTGAAGCATGTCGAAAGTTTTTCAACTCACTTTATTTTCCAATCCATCAGCGATTCTGATGTATGAGGGAGATTCATGTACAAAAATAAACCATAGTTGATTTGGTGGTCTTGGACCTTTGGGATACAAGTGATCCGTCAAGATTATAACATCGGCTTCAAGCCATCTTGATCTGTCGAAAATCAGTTCACAATCACAAGCGAAACAGAAGGAGAAGTTTCGAATAATATTGATACGAATGTTTCCATAGTTGAGAATTATTTTTCTCTGCAAAATACAATTAACCGAAGAGATACTTTAATCGAATAAGCGAAGGCTATACAGAACGATAGAATTTTGGTGATAATATCTACAGCAGACTTTAAAATATCCGTAAACATTAGTAAGTACTGGTCATTATTTTCATTTAGATAGAATTAAAAGTTCTGAGTGCACGACAATTCTGACAACAATACACAGTCCATCGACTTTATTTCTAAAGAAATTCACTTAACAATTATGACTTATGAGGTATGATAAGTAGAAGTTTAGTACGATGTCGTATTATTATCTGTTTTTCTCTTTCAATCTCAATGAAAACGGAACTTACTGTAGTAACTGTCTAAATAAGTATATTGATTTTTTGTTTATCTTCACAGCTTAGAACTGAACTAAAATCGCTGGCCTCACAATTCCATTCCATTCAAAACTTGACTTAAGGCAACGCTGCATATTAGTCATTTCAGCTTCTGCAAACTATTCTAAATTCACAAACTTGATTACGAAAAATCCATTTGTCTTAAAATTGGCTACATCTTTTGAATAATAAAGCGGTTGTATAAATGTAGAGCTTGATTACAAGTTATTATAAAGAATATTCTACATTTGTATTTTCTTGTGGTAAAAGACTACTGCAGACCGCTGTTAATTTGATTGTTTTTGTGGGAGAGACCTTTAGATTGCACTTCCAAGGGTATGAAGATTCTTTGTATTGATACCTATTTTAATATGAATTATGAAAACTTGTAAACTTTCTGAAATCTAATTACTTGAATGAAGCCTAGAATATTGAATGGTGTTGAAATCCCAACAATATGTGACGCTACTTCGACGATTGAAGCTGGGATGTCAACTTAGTTTAATGCCTCCTAACCTTATATTATTTACTGCTAATATAGTTTTAGTTCAATTGAAATTGTGTCCAACTCTAATTGATTAGACAGACACAGAAATCTCTTTCTCATAATAATGCCGACTAAACAACCAGAACATCAGTACAACTTGAGTGTTTTCAACATCATAAATAGGTGAAAAAAGTAGTCTGAAATAACAATATCGTGATTAATTCATTCTTATTATTAAGTAAAAATAGGGTCAGAGTGATTATGATACAATGTATAGAACAAAATGAGAAGTTCTGTCAACTGAAGCAATTACTATCAAAATCTAGTAGAAGAGTCATTCTAAGAAACTCACGGCAGCCGGAGTAGAATTCACTTCATATAATTCTTCAAGATCTTTCTCAGTAAATCCGAGTGTAATTTTATTTTCATACTTCTTCATTTGTGATGCAGTATAATAGGTCTGATTTAAATTACCTACTGAACTTGAATAAATTTCACGTGATAATTCATTGAAGGAGAAACCATCATCATTTCGTGATAAGCCGAATTGTTCCTCCCATTTGAATTGAAATAGTAATTTTGTCAGTTGATAACTTGTACATACTATGACTGCAAGTTGAACTGCCAGTACAACTAAACGCCTAACAAGCTTCATGAGGAAATGGAATTGACAAAATGCTTGATTCGATCCTTTGTAATTAACACAAAACTGGATCTGTTAATGGGAAGTACCTTATCAAACGAAGTTAAAGAAAGATTATCAAAGTGAGAATACTAAACATAGATGCAAGTGCTTTTAACGTCTACCAAACAGTTTTAATCTACAGGTGGTCTACAGGTTAGGCACACGTGCGTATGACCGAATGTTCTGGGTTTGATATTCTGCGAAACTCCATGTTAAAATAATAACTGCTATTAGTTTTTTATTTCATGAGTATCGATGAATCATCTTCACGTAAGGTATGATAATTAGTCAACATGAATTCACCCGATGTATTAGAGTTTTACGTGAAGTGAATTCAGGATCACAACAATGCTATCTCTATTTGAATTTCCGAAAATCAAATGATGCTAGTCTTTTTCACTCATATCCCGAGGCTTTAAGATTAGATGTCATAATCTTCCAGAAATCATTATAGCTTCCAAATGGAGCTCGTAGTCCATAAGAAAAATTGTAACCAACAGAGATAGAGATGTTCTGACAAAGCTAACGGTAATCTACTGAAATCAATTTTATGTAGACGTTTCCACGCAGTTTAAAAATTTATGAAATAAGTCATAAATAAATTACAACGGACTTGTTAACTATGTAATTAACTTTATTAACAGAATCTGAACAAATACCATAGGAAACCCAAATGTACTTTGAAGCATTTGTGCAACTGATGGTTCTTCTCTTCCGATATAATTTCCAAAACATTTCATCTCTTAACAGAGTTTATGTTATCTGAGGTCTCTTCTTTCGAAAAGATGATTCATTTGTATTCAACCGTTTATCTGGATGTATGAAATATATTCAAACCAAATTTCAATTCTCCTTGATAAAAATGAATAGTGTTGTCCAAATTGAATTACAATAGTTGTGAAAAACAGACAAATTGGTAAATTAAACATACCTGTTATTTTGTAGTGAACCCATTGAACTTGTATTATTTGTTCACTACAATATAATTGAAGCATTTAATCCAGTAAATAAATTGTTGTGTGTGTCTTCTTGAGCTCATGTCTAAACATCAATATTCATTTATTCTCTCATTGGTTGTAAATACAAACAATCAATAATTTATCTACAACCAATTGACATTCACAAATATATATGGATTTCCAACACTCATACCCAGGTCATTCGATTCTATGTGTGCGTGCTTTCTGTATGCTTGTGGAATTTTGATGATCATTAACAATAAACTATCTCCACAACTGGTGTTCAGGCTTTTGAATAATCTCGAGATTTAGCCTACATAATTACTCAGCTAACGGGATATTATTTATTGCAGTCAGATATAGCGTGATTAACCTCTACGGTTTCACAAATTTCCAAAATGATTACAATTTCAGTAGATCTTCTAATAGTAATCATATACAATCGGTAATCGGGATTAGTCAGATATTTCCAAAGTAAATTTAATGAGAACACATCTACTGTCTTACTAAAAAAGCAGATATTTACTTTAATTCAACAATATTAGTAGTAATAACAGTCAAATAACAACTTTCCTATCACTAGAAATACTTCGTTTCATTTAATTACAGGTATTACAGTGTCGAATGTGTTACGAATATTTCCCAAGCGATTAAAACGACTGACAAACTAGGTATCAGTATGGCCTTCAGATAAACTATCCTTTTCTTTACCGACATAATATCTCGTCAAAAGTATATAGAACACTTTAGTTGGCAAATTTGAATTTCCCGAAATATTTTAGTTAGCATATACCGAACGCTTCCTCTGGTTTCATAAATATGTAGGATCTGAAGAACATCTCTGAACACTACGCAAATGATCCCCTCAGCTGAAAGTGAGGCCGTCTTAGAAGATTATTTACTGGATATTTAATTGTTTACTGACCTTTCCTAAATACAAGGAAGAATAACGTGGACTGATTGATTGACGACATGTAGCAGTTCATTCATCAGCTATGTGTATCACCTGTCTTCAATCGAATATATCATCATTCTGGTAATTTTGTATACGTTTTCTAGGTGTTTTATGAAAATACGATAGCCTGGCTGTCAATTTGTAACAGGCTAGGTGAATTCCTTAACAACAATCCTTACTTAAGCACATATAAATTGAAGAGAGAAGTGTCAGGAAGAAGCAAATATACCCATAAACCTGGATAAAACTATCAAGATATCCATTATTCCACTATCTAAAAACGAAAGCTTGCATAAATGTTGATAGCATAGGCTAGTAGGGTCTGTCTGTTAAGTAAATTAGTTGAGGTGTTTGACACAATTAACCGTAGACAAATTTAATTGTAGGAGAGGTGCTATGGGCTAAAAAACACACTGTATCCTAAATCTATGTATGAAAATGAAAGACCATTATTAAAATTGTATATTGCACACAATAATGCGTTTGCTAAAACAATTTAATTAATTTGTACATGTAATCGGCGTAATGAAAGGCACTACATTAGTTACAACAATACGACGGATTAACACTCATTCCATTTATTACCACAAAAACAGCTAACTAATCGGTTTTGAAGATATATGTAAGCAATATAGCTATTCGACGAAAAGGTTTACTGATAAAATTTTATTATTAGTCGATAAAGACTATGGAAGATACCGATTTGAATAGTTGTGGTGTTTGTATGAACTAATGATTGTTTTATATTTGATTCCTGGTTGATCATGAATTGTGAATACAATACATTCATTTGTGTTTATCTAGTTGTATTTGGCTTAAATTGCACTGTTTCTGTAATATCTAGTTAAACAATAATTCGAATACTTCTAATTATCATAATAATATAACTGTGTAAAGTACTATTGACAAGAAAATATCGTATTTCCGATTGTCTTAATGCCTCAAGCCATCAGTATTAATTGACATTTAAACATTTCAAAGCAGATTCATCACTATTATTTTCTCATCATATATACTTATTATTTGTTTCTTCTAAGCAAAGAGCCATGAAATTCAAAGCGTTTCCTTCGTTCTATTTGGTACTTATCAACTGAATCTACACAGATCCTGATTTTTAATTGTAATCATATAGATTTCGTAGGTTCTCGTCAGCTACTTACAACCTGTGATATTTAGAAGTCATAATTACACAATGGGTTTAAATTGCTTACTGAATATTATAAATATATACCTAATGTGAAAGAATATTCTACAACATTAATCGTGACAACAGTTCAAATTGGGTTAGAAACAATCGATTACATAATGAATAACATTGAAGGAATGCAGTAAATAGAGTTCATTTGAAAGATTATTAATTCGATAGATAGTTGAAAAAATAAAATAAAGTCAGTGATGTAATAAATTCGAAAGAAAAAAGAAGAATTTTCATTTTTTCTTTTTTATTTTTTCTTTTGCATTTATTGCTTCACTGACTCTATTTTATTTTTTCAACTATCTATCGAATTAATAATCTTTCAAATGAACTCTACTTACTACATTCCTTCAATGTTATTCATTATGTAATCGATTGCTTCTAACCCACTTTTGAACTGTTATCACAATTAATGTTGTAGAATATTCTTTCACATTAGGTATATATTTACAATATTCAGTTAACAATTTAAACCCATTATGTAATTATGATTTTTAAATATCACAGGTTGTAAGCAGCTGACGAGAACCTACGAAATAAAATGAATTCATGCTATTCTGCTAGAATCTTTGTTCTTGCTCTTTTCAAAATGATAAAGGGAACTATGTGTATGTATTCATATAATAATAATAATTTTAGAGACTTCACCATTCATTATTATTTTAATCTGCAGAAAATATGCTTCATAAATGTAGTCTTTCGTTCAAATATACAATGAAATTCCAGATTGACTAAATGCAGTGTTAATAATTTGACGTTTTTGTATAAGATAAATGAGTGGTTAATTTGAATCGTTACATTATATTAAGACGTTTTAATCTAATATCTCCAGTTGTTGGCTTTTTTCGTAAACGATGAACTATGGTATTTGTACGAACTAATGATTCCATTGTACTTGATTGCTCACTGGTTACAAATTCCACATATAAGACGCTAATTTGTGGTCATCTAATTCTGCTTGTCTTAAATTGAACTATTTCGGGAACTCTTAGTTGGCAAATGAATTCGAATACTTCTAATTACCATATAGACATCGAGACGGATTTGTATAATAATTCAAGTAGATATGACTTTAAAAACTACGTGGAGCAGTTCAAAATCTGGTGCATAACTAGAAAAGACACTTGAGATGACAAATCCATAGCTTATTTCCCGAATTTATCGTTAAACAGGCTTATAACCCGTTAAAATATCTGGCTTTTCCAGAGAAATCGGATTCATTGTAACATGAATCTCTCAAGGAATTACTGCTTAGTCATGTGCAATGTGTTAGTTTTGAATGCAGAGTGAGATTGGAGTTCCATAAAATGATGCAACAAAATGATCAGGAAGTTAAAGACTTTATACTTGAATTACAGAATCAGGCCACGAAGTGCAGTTTTGAAGAACAATTTGAAATTCAACTTCTTGATCGACTGATTGCTTGGAATCGTATTACGAGTTTAGAAGAAGAAATTATTCGCAAGCTCAAAATGTCAGTTCGAGATACTGAAATAGCATGTCTGATTTATAAGGCAGTCAATGAGTTTCATTTCCAGTCAGTGAAAAATTTCAATACTTTGCTTGGCCGTTATGATGAACTACATACTCAAAGCCGCTCAAGCTGGCGTCTGTTTAATAATGGTCCCCATTCTCGTGGAAATTTAACAGTTTAACAAAGAATTGCAATGCATGTTACAGAGGTGAACACGGGTTTGGTCAACGTTTATCCTGTGGTTAGTTTTCCTTACGTCATCCACGTGTCTTTTGTAATGCTGAATGCAAAACATTGCGCACGGCTACCAAGCTCTCTTATTCTCAAACGCAAGCAACAAATGTCAAGACCTCGAAAACAAATGTAAATTCTATTACTGCTGCGAAATTGACGACCAGGAATGAAGAGGATATAAATTCTTTCAGTGCAGAATTTTTAGATCGTAATCAAAAGAAACAAACATGAAATTTCTTCAACAAGAAAATCTTCCATTTCAGAAGCTGTGATAATCAAAAGTATTGGGTATATTATATGAACTAGATATCCCCGAAATAACTCAATTTAAGTCAGATAGGACTTGAGGAGTACAAATGAACACAATGTATTTGGAACTCAAAATCAGACAAATGGAGTACCAAAGAATCAGTAGTTCTTACTAACACCATGATCACCACATACTGAATTGGAATCGAGGTTTTGTAGTCAACTGAACATATTTTCCTTAGGTTCATCGTATGTCTGTTAGACTGTGTATTGGATATACGCTCTATATGATCCAGAATATGATCATTAGGATTAGGATTAACAACCGAAATTGCAACAAGCTCAACTGAATCCTTGAATCGTATTTTATAGACATGTAGTGACCTGCTTTTACCAAGAGAACGCGATTGATTATTATTATAACCAATTGTACCAGTGATTGTTTTACTGTGCTCGTTTGTTTAACTGTGCTAAAAACAGCCATATTCCTACTCCATTACTCTCCATTACTTTTCCGCGGATTGTGACCTTGTATGTTCGTACAATTGCCCGCTAATTCCACTTGTACTCCTTTGGCACGATCTCGGTATCCTTTCGATACCACGAGATCGCCAACGAATAAATCTGGTTACGTTCAGTCTTCACCTTCTGATTTACTTGGTACGCGTTTCCCTGTAGTGGTGCTCATAGTCAACCTCGACTCGGCAACACGCTACAGATATGTCGGTTGTGTGTACTGAGATCACTGATGTGCAGAATTCGCACCATAGATTTTCTGACATCATGGAAACCATTTCTCAACTACACACCTTTCTTAATGTTTGGTGTGTGAGGGCGAAATCAGATGAAGTAGTGAAATAAACTTCACACAACCTAGAAAAAGAATCTATGACTACGAGTGCGTAGTATTCGCCAAAAAATGG